CAGGACTTGTGTATGTGTTGTGTGACTGAAAAGCATATGCTAACTGTTGTATTTACAATAAACGTGGCACTTTGCCTTATCCCTCTTATAAGATCCTATTGGTATTATTTTATTAGTGTAACACTAATTGGTGGAAAATTGCGGAAGGGGGAATGCTGGCATTTGTCCCGGTTATTGTAAAACCAACTAGTGTGCACACGACCTGCTCTTAGGAGCACGACATTATTATTGGTTAACCAAGCCTGCTGACCTCTGGAAGGTAGACGCTTCATAAAGAGCTCATAATATTCTAAGCTATGATTACAGAATCCAAGCCAGATTGTTCACTGAAATATCAGGGGTAACAAGAGCCTAAGGGCCTGGCAACACGCTGAATGATATCAGAGGTAGATGGATCAGAGAATCTAGGCTGTGTCACTCACTGAGCGATATCGGGGTGACGTAGGAAACAAAATAAGCTTGTAAAAATGTTTAAGGAAAGGGACCAGGAGCGGGGGGTGGGGGGGGGCCTGGGGGGGCTAGTTGAGAAGCCCACCCTCCTTGCTAAATTGGTAATGGAACAAAGCTTGTGCCCATGGAAAGGGACAGTTCACCAAAAAAACCCAAAACCCTCCCGCCAGGATCGGGCCCAGATAAAGAAAGCGAATAACAGGCTACAAGCCCTGAGGGCATGGTGGCAGAAATAAGGAAAGGAGTAAGTGCAGACAGGGGGAACAGAAACAATACTTGGAATGGTGAAATCTAAGTTGATTAAGGTGTTTTTTTGGAAAATGAGCAAGTGATTTAACTAACTGCAGAAGCTGGAGGGAATTAAGCAGCTAAACTTTGTGAAAATGTTAAAAAGAAAAAAAGTGTTAGAGGAAAAGAATTCTTGGTTTCTTTGCAGCCATTCTGAAGGAAAAATGGGCCCTTTTCCAAAGGAATGTCTGTAAATTAGCCAGGCAAAAATAAACTGATTAAAATCATTTGGACAATTTAATCAAATTTGCTAAAAGAACATAAGGGGGTTCTATTGGAACTTAACTGCCACAAATGTATAAAGGGAATGTAAGATATAAAAAACAGAGCAGCGTGGCAGGAATGTTAAGAAGAAGAAAATGTGTACGTATCTATCTGTGTGTGTAAATATGTAAAGTTCTAAGGACCAATTGGTTTTGTTTCCGTTTTAAATACTGCCACTAAAAATCCATCTGACTCTAATTGAAAGTTGCAAAACTGACAGAACTTTTTGCTAGACACAGGTGATTAGTGTTGTTTGGCTTTGGGATTTAACCCTTAAGAGGTAAATCAATGCTTTACTAAATTTAAAATGTTAAGTTGTGGCTGCAGGAGGGCAGTTAAAATCAGGAGAACAGGAATAGATTCTGGATTCGTTTTTTGTATTTGTTTTTTTGGTAACAAAATAGCAGATAAGAGCTGTAGTAAAAGAATAAGAAATTAAAAAAGACAGCGCTCCTCTGAAGCAACAGCAGGAGTGAGGTGCACAAAACAAAAGAAGCAATGTTAGAAACACTGAACCTTAAGATGGCTCTGAGTAATCAAACTGTCACTTTGATAAAGGTACATGAAAACTCTGTAAGCACAAAAAGAAATAGTTACACCTTATGTAAAAATTGATATGGATAATGTTATAGAAGTTAAACTATGGAAGGAATGTACATTTTCCCCAGAACATGTGCAGTATACATTGTAAAAGAAATGCAGACATACCATGCTACTTAATTAAAATCCTATTAGGGCTCCAAAGGGAGCCTCACAATAGGTTGTGTTTTCTTTTTCAGGTCGCTGTATGTTTTGAAAGCAGGAGTTAAAAGTGAAGCGTAATCAAAACTCTGTTAAAAGTTAACTGTGTCCCTTTTAAGATAGAGTCTCTAAGCTGCTGATGGCTTTGGATCCAAAAGCAAGCAAGGAAGCAGTCTGTGTTAATGCAAATTACCTAACTGATAAAGAAAGCAGCACAAAGAAGCTGCAGATAAAGGACATACCTGGTCAGCAAACAAATTGTCTGAATAAAAGGCATGGTATAACAAGATACTTGTAACAGATTTAATGTTAATAAGTACCCCTGCAACAATGTATATAGTGTGTATGATTTTTGGAAAAATCCTTTAAGGTCACATGGTAATGATGCTTCTCAGCTATTACCTGTAAATAAACTTAAAGCTTATCACAGCAGGAAAAACATTATAAACTTGGTCTGCTGTATAAGAAGGGAAACTGAGGTACCGCACCTCGTGGATTTAATGATTAAACAGTGGGATAATTTCCCCATAACTCTTGAAAGGTAGAAGCCATTGAAACCTGGCCTCCCTATAGAATAAAACACAGGAAAGTATGGGTGTAATTCCTCTGTTTTGCCTGCAATCAACAATGATATTTGTGAAAGAAATATTTTAAGCAATAATCTGCCACCCCAAAAGGGGTAGAAACATGTTCTTTTTGTCTTTCAGAAAATCAGGAAAAGCTGATACCAGCTGAAAAGCAACCCGAAATCCATGAATCTACTGTCACAATAGAAATTGTGTTTTGTGTTCTATGTTTTGTCTTGTCAATGTTTGGGGTAATATCAGAACACACTAAGGTTTTAATACACTTCAAAAGAAAAAAAATCACTAATACTGCATCCATTCATACTAATATATGTTCCTAGCATAGAAAGGCCAGACATTTTAATTGAATAAATTGTTGTTAAAATCGCACACCAACAGGCTCTGGAAGCAAAAATATGGAAAGTTAGCCCACTCCCCATATTGCACATGGAATCCTTCTGGACCTCGAGCCAGTGGACTGGGGAGGGAGGGAGGGAAGCTATTGGACACCAGAGGTTGCACTGAGTGGGCTCCTCAAAAGTGGGTGTGCTTGTCCTTGCCTGTTGCTCCAGAGCTCTGTAGTAAAGATATTTCACTAAAATCATGCATGTGAAATAAATTGAATAATGAGACCAAAGAACTGTATAATGGGCTATGTGTATGTGTTAATTCTTGGAAAAAAGTGTTTTGGGAAGATAAAAGTGTAAGCAACCCACTAGTAGACAAATGTAAATGTAATGCAAGTACTGTATTTACCAATAATCGGCTTACTGTAAGCACTGATTTAGCTAAGTTCTCTATCAATCTTAGCACTGAATGGCAGAAAGATGCCAATCACCTGTTAAAAGGTGAAAAGGTAACACAGTTCCTAGAACAAACAAAAAGGCAATGTGGGAAACTAACATTCATATTATATATGCAAGACTGGAAACATGTTAAGAATTGCCACTGCAGAAAAACAGATAACAGCTTACCATTGGTATAATATTTTTACGGGCTGGTCACCCACCTGTAAAGGCATACTGTCAATTATGCTTCATCCACTGTTAATTGTACTGGTATTATCCTGCATCTGCTTAATTGGAATAATATGTATGTGTTGCTGGATAAAAAGACTGTTTGTTAAATTGCAACCACAAGCTCAAATCGCCTCTCAATATGTGGCTATGAGACAATTATATTAGATATGACCCACTTAAGAACTGTTCTTGAGGAGTCAAAAGGGGAAATACGTAGGGCTAAATTTGATAATTGTACTATAAGAATTGATGTAAACCTTGATTTCATTCTGCCAGCCACCTTTTTTGAATAACAGAAGGGAATGACTGTCTGAGACTGGCATCCTGTTTCCCATATGCATTACAATTAGGACCTGTTATAAAGTTTAGTTAGTAAAAGACAGGATTTTGTATTGTGTCTATGATAAATAAATAAATAAATGTTGAGGGCCTGAAGCCCCAATGTGAATTGTTTTAGTTATAATATTTAGCAAGGCTTAATTTACAATGTATTCTGTATACTTTTGAAGGTTTCTGTGACAGAGTGTTCGTGTGAATGAGGAATGCATGCATCAGGAAAAGATCAGGACTTGTGTGTGTGTTGTGTGACTGAAAAGCATATGCTAACTGTTCTACTTACAATAAACGTGGCATTCTACCTTCTCTCTTTTATAAGATCCTATTGGTATTATTTTATTAGTGTAACACTGGGGAAAGCTGTGGCGCTGTCTCTTTAAGACACTCACTGAAAGCTCTTCTGCTCTGTCCTGAGCCCTGTCTCCCCTCCCCGGCTCTGCAGAGATGGGGTACATGGGTAGTGGGAGGGGGAGAGAGAGACAGACTGTGTCACCTGGCTGCTGGGGAAATTTCAGAAACAGTGCACCATCTCTTTAAGAAAGGCACTCAGAGTTCGGGGCTTGTCTACTTTACCGGGGGATTCACGCATGGTGACCAATGCATCAGTGGTCGATTTAGCGCTTAATCGACCGCATATCATTTTCCCATCGACTCCTGTACTTCACCGGATCAAGAAGAGTAAGGGAAGTCAACAGAAAAGCGTCTCATGTCGACATCATGTAGTGGGACCTTGCGGTAAGTAGATCCAAGCTATGTTGATTTGAGTTACACTATTCATGTAACTCAAATTGCGTAGCTTAGATCGACTTTTCCCTTTAGTGTAGTCAAGGCCTCAGACACTCACCATTCAGACTGCAGCAGCTCCGAGTCCTCCTGAACCAGGCTGTCCCCCTGCCCTGCTCTGCGGAGATGGGGTACAGTGGCGGGGGCCAGGGAACACCCTGACATCAGCTCCCTTCTGCACAGCCAGCAGAAGGGTCCCGGGAGCAGCTGCAGGATGGTGCAATGCAGGGGGGAGGGGCACCTGAACACATGCTACTGGCTGTGCATGCTCTGCTATCAGGTAGGCGGCACTTAAATCTCTCCTCTGCGGCCGCCCAAGCACATAGCTTACAGGGAACACAAGATGCAAACCCTAATTATTGTCAGTTTTGCTTTCTGGTTCTGATAAAATAAGCACACAGCTGTTGTTTGTAACAATTCAGAATAATATTTAATGTTAAGAAAACATATCTATACCTTTACTTAAAGATAACAAACCAACCATAGGACCTAAGCTGTGGCATCAGGTGACTTAAGAACGAAGGGGAAAAATTGTTTTAAAAATGATACTTACTTTACTGTTGTGCTGCATTTTTGTTCTAACAAAACTACAGTTCTTTTAGATTTTGATTGTTTCTCAAGCATTTCCTCCTCTGCTAAATAGAGATGCTTCAAGTGCTCTGGGTAAGAATCTGTATATTGAACTTTCCATTGAGGATGTGCCTTTCCCTCCTTTTTTAGTAATTTCTTGTATTCCCGTTGGATCTTTTGCTTTCTCCAAAATGCAAATCCTTGCCCTGAAGCCATTAGAAAGCGTGAGTTAGACACAAACTATCTAAGAAGGTAACTTAATAATAATACGCTTTTAGTCTGCTAGTGCATTTTTCACTCGTTTTTCCATCACATGAACCAGAACTAGCACCTTAACTGTTACTATAGACCAGGGGTTCTCAAACCCCCCCGCCCCCGAATCCCCTCCCCACAATATGCTATAAAAACTCCATGGCCCACCTGTGCCATAACAACTGATTTTCTGCATATAAAAGCCAGGGCCGGTGTTGCAGGACAGTTGCCTGGGGCCTCATGCACAGGGACTCCCCCGAAGCTATATTGTTCAATCTTTGGCTTCAGCCCCAGGTGGTGGGGCTCAGGGCCCTGGGCTTCAGCCCCATGTGGCAGGGCTTCAGCTTTCTATCCTGGGCCACAGCAAGTCTAATGCTGGCCCTGCTTTGCGGCCCCCCAGGGGGCCCCGGACCCCTGGTTGAGAACCACTGCTATAGACAGGGCTTCACTGTTTTAAGTTGTGTCAAGAAAACTGAAAAAGGCTTCAAAACATTAGCACTTAGGCTGCTAGCACTGTTGTAGCTGCACCACTGTAGGAAAGTAGTTGCAAAACATGGTAGTGTGGTATCTTGCTGGTGATAATCACTTAAAAATACTTGGATGAACACACCAGACGATTCATAAGGTCTCCTTACAGCTTTTACAAATCCATTTTTGAACAGTGTTTATTTCTCATAATCTCTTGCTTTCAGCTCTGCGTATGAGATCAAAGGGAATTCAAAGAAGTGTTGCTAAAAATAATCTTGGATGCCCAAGAAATATTTAAGTACAACTGGAACAAAACTGTCTCAGTTATAGAACTACAATGCTTTAAAGTACTTTAAAAGAAAACATTGTCTTATATCTTTCTTTCTTCATTTACCTGCTTTTTATAACTGTCCAGGGAAGAGCTCTCTCTCAAGCCTAGAAATATATGTCACCCTCAACACATACATGACTATTATTAACATTCACTCAAGTCACCCAAAGAAAAAAAATAAATAAATAGTTGTTCCACTTTGTATAGCCATTTATCAGTTAGAAGCATAAATGGGAGTCTTCTTTTCCATACAGAAGGATTAAACCATTCGAGCACTTGGATAACTGCACACGTGGTTTCCCTACAAGCATTTAGCTTAATCATTCCTGCTCAACGGCCAAAATTTGAGAGTTGCTTGGCTCACCCTTCAGTATTTTCTCTAAAACACTTTATCACTGATGTGTCTCCTACTACGAATGAAGGAATTAAAATGCATTTGCAACATATGTATTTCTTTATGTCCAACGAACCACAGAGCTGACCTGAACCCAAAGCAAAGACAGCTTGGGAGCCCTTCTGCATTCTGGGACCTCAAGAGCCAACTAGTTACAACCCCAGCAACTCCACTTTGCAAGGCTGGCCCCGTTAGATCATGCCCAGCCTTACCTATTTACAGCTCTCGAGTTAGCTTAGACCCCGCTCCCTGACCAATGCTAAGGAGGGGAGAAGACCCAACTGAGCCAGAGTCCCGACACCATTCCACGGGGGAACCCTGCTTCCAGAAACCGGGCGGGGATGAGGCCTGGAGCACAGGAAGCACCTGCTAAGAGCCTCCCACTCCTCCCCATTATAACGGTCAGAAAAGCGCCAGGCTTAGCTGCAGCCCGTGAGCCCCGGGCAGCCCGGGGCTTATGACACTACATGCAACGACGGCAACAGGCCCCGAGGGGCTGCGCGAGCTCTGGGCACAAGGGGCAGGGACGGCCGTTGGGGGGAAAGCGCGATTTCCCCCTATCCCCCGCGCGCTGCCCCTGAACGTTGGAGCCCGCGCGAGGCCGCTGCGGCGGCGCTCCCTCCTCCCCCCGCCACAGGAGCCGCGGGGCCCGGGCGGCGGCGGCGGCTCTCTCTCCCCACTCACCCTCCCGAACATTCCCCAGAAAGCTCTGCTGTGGGTCCGGCCGCCACTGCCGCTTTCGGCGAGGACCCTGGGCCGCCGCGGTGTTTCTCTTTGGGGCAGCCCGACGCCTCGTATTCCCTGCCGGTGCCATCAGCCTTCCTCCGGTCCCTCACGCTCGTCGTCGCGCTCTGCGCACGTCACCAAACAGCGCCCGCCTCCTAGCGGATAGATGGTGAACTCTGCTCGGTGTTCGATTCGCCAGCCTGACCACCTGAGGCAGGGCGAGCCCGAGCCGCCCGGCCGACAGACGTCACAAATCGAGCACCGAGGAAACTTTCCTTCCTTCGGCATGTCGCGTTCCCTCGGCTCCCTCCCCCCCGAGCCGGCAGCGGAGACTGTGGCCTCCCGGCTGCGGGCCGTGGCGCAGTTTCTCAGGCGGGCGATGCCGCTGTGCCAGGCCCACACGGTGGAGTTTTACACGCGAGGGCTGTGGGAGCAGCTGGTGGCTGTATCCCCCGAGACGGTGCTGGAGGTGTTGGGCGGGGCCGGGCTCCTGCGGCAGCAGCAGCGCCCCCTGGAGGAGGCCGCCGGCACCGGCAGGGCCGGGCTATGGGGTAAGTGCCAGAACCCCCATTCGGGGAGCGTTAGTGCCCTGCTGGTCCCAGGGTGGGCGCTGGGGTCACTCTCTGGCTGACTTTGCTCCTCGTGGCAGTGTGACGGTATGATAGGTGGCCGTCAAGGCCTGGTAGCCGGCATAGTGTTGCCACCGGGGCACCCTGCTGGGTGTTTTTCTCCAAGCCCCAGATCCTGGAGTCAGGTGATTCCATAGATGCTCAGTTTCCCATTAAAAGAAATGCCTGTAGCCCTCCTGACTGCGAGAAAAGTTTGACCACGGGACTTGCATGTACTAAAAGCTCAGACACCAGATGGCCAAGTTTAGAGGAACCCCACATTTATTGTTTAAAGGATCGTGATTTTTAAGCCAAGCTCATGATTTTTGATCGCTTGTGGTTGGCAGTGCTCCTTCCGCGGCATCAAAGGAGAGGCACTGCACAGCGTGAGGCTGCGGAATGGACATCCCACGCTGTGTTGTCAGGCTGCAGGGACATCACTGCCCCACCTGCCGCAGCAAGAGGGACAATCTCAATGAATTGTAAGATGGTTGGACAGTTTTTCAGTGCCATGTTATACTAGCATGTTCAAAATTTCATCGCCTTGCTATGCAACATCACAAATTGCCTCAAAAGCAGCAGGTACTTTCAGGATTGCTGCTGTTTGAAAAGAAAGTAAATCAGGAAACTCCTGGAAATACGATGGGACATGCAGTAACAGACTCTAGAGATAACATTTGTATTCATAAAGGAGACTTGTAGTGATAATGTACCAAGGGCCGCCTAGGCTGCTGAACAGGAATATAGCAGTAACTCTTTGTCTCCATCTTACTGGTGCAGCAATTGATAAATAATAATACTTTTAAGGGACTTAAGGTTAACAAGTTTTCATGCTGGCTGTGAAGCAGCAGTTAACTAACTGACACTATTCTTGGAGTTGTGCTGACTTCATCCATGATGCTGATGCTCAAACAGAAGTTTTGGCTTAATGAGATATTATATATGCTGAAGTTGTTAAAATGATGATTCACATCTCTGTTGTCTTGTACTGGATTACTGTAACCTTTTCAACCTCCTGACTGCTCCTGTCTTCAAATCATCCAACACTGTTTAGGTAAAATCATTTTCTTTTCTTGTGCCTCAGATCTAGTCATCCTTCTCAAATTCAGTCAATGGCTCTTTGTCTGATTCTGTATCAGGTTTAAACTTGTTTTAATTGCTTTCAAGATACTACAACTCCAGCCCAAACTATGAGAGATTGGGAAGGGCCACAAATGAGATCTTGGTGGGAAGCCCAGTCTCCTAGCTATACCCAGGAGCTGGAATTCCAGGGGACTGACCCTAGATCCTGCTTGTGGTGCCATCATTGGTATCAGCCTCTAGACATTAGTTACCTGAAAAATTTGAAGCCTTGCTCATTTTCTCTAGCTTCTGGAAAGTAGAATGACCTTTATTCTCTCTTCGCTCTGCAAAGCCTTATAGTCACTGGGGAAGAAGATCTGCTTTAGGGGCGGGTCTTGTCCACTATTCTACTCATCCCCCCAGGACCTTTGCAAATACTCTCTGACACTCTCCATTTTCGGGTTGTCCTACCCAGTAAGCCTGTTCCTCCCGCTGCTTGTAGTTTTCTCAGACAGCAGCAGTGTGAGGTTCACGTATGCAGCCCACAATCTTTTGAATAGCATCCGTGAAACTCATCAGAGTTTTGGTAACTTTCTCTTTATGCTTGGTAAAGTTAAAAGCAGCAGCAGTACGTAGTCCGGGAGCATAATGTTGTAAAGTCTTATTCTGTGGGCAAGTTAGAGGCAGAAAGGTCAGGGAGATGTCCTTTGGTTCATAAAAACCTACAGACTCATAATTTCAATGGTATCATCCTCTGCAGCATGGCAGGGGGACTCACTGCCCAGGCCTGCCTCCCCCTCCAGGTCCGGGCCCCTGGTTGGTGGAAATTTGGATAATACAGTGTCACTGGAAATGGGCTGAGTTGGGTATCATTCGAAAGCTCCTTTTCCCCACAAACACAATGGTATTAAACACAACAAACCTAAAACAGTTGTGTAGATCTATATTAGAAGAAAACATTTAAAAAGCATGTTTTTTTGTAAATTATACTTTGAAACAGGGATGCATTGCTTACATATTAAAAAAGACACTGATCTTTTGTAATCCTTGGAAAGTTAGCCTTGACATGTAGGACTGAAAACATTTATTCAACAAAGTAATCATTATAGTTGTCTCCATCTCTGGCACCACTTCTAGACACACTGTCACATTAATTCTTATCCACACCACACTTGCACAATTCTGTATGAGACAGGCTGCTGGCCATATGTTTACAGGGTGAGAAGCATCTGGTTTTTCCACATGACCATTTGATTAGTCGAAGGATTCATTTGGGAATACATAGTATTTCACAGATAACTGGTGTGATGAGTCCATTCTCCAGGACCCATACAAGTCCGATAGAAGAGAGTAGTTTTGGACACGCTCAATTATCCCCGAGCCATTCCATTGCTTGATAATTTGCCGTCCTGATAGCAGGTAAAAATGCACGCATTGTCAGTGGCAATTTTTCTCCATTTGTCTGCTTCTTGAAAAAAATCCACCAATGTAGCGTAAGGTTGGCCTTCAAATGGTAAACTTAGCATATGAACACCCCCAATGGATTTATATTTCATGAGTGACTGTCCAGCCACTTTTCTAGTGGCAACTGCAGTCAACTATCTTGCCACTTCCCCAGTGGTGACTCCCATCAACTGTCCTGCCACTTCCCCAGTGGTGAGTTGGGGAGACCCAGGCCCACCCACGACTCCAGGTCCCAGCCTACGGTTCTTGTGGATTGCAGCCTCCTGCTGCACCTCTACTATCGCTGCCTTTCCCTGGGCCATTTCCCCACAGCATCCTCCTCAGTCTTAGCAGCCTGTCCAGAGCGCCTTCTCTTCTCTGTGGGTTCCTGCCTCTACTAAGCTGTTCATGGTTCTACAGTGTTGTCGCCTGCTCCAGACAACTACTGACACTGCTCTGCCCTGAAGCTCTTTATATATGGCCCTGCTGGGCCCTGATTTGCCCCTCCTCACAGCCCCTCTCCTATTGGCTGCTTTTCATGCAACCTCCCTAGGGCTCTATTAATCCTTTATTGGCCAGTGTGGGCCATTTGCCCCATCACAGAATAACATAGGCCACAGAATTTCACTTGGGAATTTCTTCATGAATACCAGAACTTCTAGTTGAGTTAGAGCATGTCTTTTTGAAAGACATATCATCTTGATTCAAAGACTTCAAGTGATGGAGAATCTACCACACTTCCTGCTAAATTGTTCCAATTATTAATTACCCTCAGTGTGCTTTTTTTTAAAAAAAAAGTTCCTTATTTCTAGTCTATTTTTTCTACTACTTCTTCCAGCCCACTAAATTTTGTTACTCTTTCCTTTGCTTGATTAAAGAGCCTTCTACTGCAAACAGTCTTCCCCCATATAAACTGTGATCCTAGACTGTGATCAAGTCACCTCTTAATTTTCCTTCCCTTTGTTAAACTAAATAGATTGTGCTTCATTAATCTCTCACTGCAAGACAGGTTTTCCAGACCTAGAACCATTTTTGTAGCTTTTTCTGAACTCTTTTTTAATTCGTCAACATCCTTTTCGAAGTGTGGACACTTCAAAGTGTGAACCAGAACAGGACACAGTATTCCTATAGTGGTCTCACTAATGCCATATACAATGGTAATAAGATATTCTTACATCTACTGAGTATTCCCCTGCTTATACATTCAAGGACAGTATTCACTCTGTTAGCTCACACTAATCCCTATCGTTACTGCATTCCAATATAGTTTCCCATCTTATGGTGTGCCCTGTATTTTTGATTCCTACATGTATGATGTTGCATTAGCTATGTTAAAACACGTGTTGTTCAAATGAGCCCAGTTTACAATGTGATCTGGATTGCTCTCTATAACTATTACCTATCCTTATTTACCATCCACCAATTTTTGTGTCCTATGAAAAACTTTACCACCAATGATTTTATGTTTTCTTCCAGCTCACTGATAAAGATAGTAGACTAGGAACAGATTGAGTCAGGAGCAGATCCTAGTGGGATCCCACAAAAAATGCCCCAGTTGTATGATGATTCCCCATTTACAATTACTGTTTGAGATCTATCAGTAAGCCAGTTTTTAATCCATTTAATATGCTACACTGAGTATGTATAATTTTTTATCATAATGGTGTGCAGTACTAAGTAACGAGCCTTATACAAATCTAAATAGATAATGTCAACAGTTACCTTTTTCAACTAAACTGATGCTCTCATAAAAAAAAAGTTTAGTTGACAACACCTATTTTCTGTAAAACCATTGTTGATTGGAATTATTTTTATCATCATTTAATTCTTTACTGATTGCATCCTGTATCATCCTTTCCATGATTTTCTCTAGGATCATTGTCAATCTAACTGGCCCTGTAGTTATCTGGATCATCCCATTTACCCTGTCTAAATATTGGTGCATTAGCTTTTATTTCCAGCCCCTGAGAATTCCCAAGTATTCCAAGATTGTTAAATGTCAACTTTAATAGTTCTGAGTGCTCCTGATGGAATTCTTTCAAAACTCTTGAAAGCTAAGAAATGAGCAGAAAATATTTTAATGATCTGGTCAAGAGAGTGAGTGGGGGAATCAGTCCAAAGAGAGAAATCAAACAGCCGGTTAATGAAAAGATGCAAGAAGCAGTGAGGTCTGATCAGTCATTATAATGAAAATATAAGGATGAGATGACTGAAGAAAGAGAGCCAGACATTCAAGCTAAGAAACTGAGAAGGAACCAGAAAATAGTAAATAATGGCATCTCAGAGAGGGATGGAAAAGCCAAATGGAGGAGATGGAATTGTAGCAGGGAGAAGAGCAACTTGGTCATCAGTACTGAGATCAGTACTGCTGTTCAGCATATCATCAATCTGGAAAATGAGGTAATAGCTATGTGGTGATATATGCTGATGATTCAAAA